TATATTTTATATTATCATTAAAAGAACACTTTAAAACTAGCTTTTGTCAAGAAATTGCAACATATTATCTATTTATTCTTCTGCATTATATTTCACAGCTGTTTATTAAAAAAGCAATTTTATAACTTGAGAATTTTTGTACGTCAGCTTTAAGTTAAATAGACGAACAATTTAGTTAATTGTTAAACTACATAGGAAATTTTTGATTTTCATGGATAAAGAACATATGGTTAGTTATTTTAAAGACACAAAAATTAATATGATTATTTTTCATTGACAGCTGTCAGTTCATTTAATAGATATCAATGTTATTAGTTATATGAGTTATCTGATAATGATCTGATAATTTTTAGTTTTGAACTGGTTTCTGATTTTTTATACTTAAGTATATTTATATCCAAAAGTTTTTTCGTATTTCTAATCAAAATTGAACATATTTTTTTATAAGTATTTATACTAATAAATAAATAAACAAATATGCATCATTTTGGTCGACSACTTTGTGCCATTTTTCCGCTAGAAACATTATTCCATCAGTGAAAATCTCTCACTGATACAGCATAGACTCCATACAAAAATTTTATATAAAAATTTCAAACACTCACATGTTTGAACAGCTGTAACTTTTTCTCAACTTTCCGGAACTTTGTTTTGGTTAAATGTTAAGCTCCATTTAATCATCATCTTTCCAACACCAATACTATATGGTATGATAAAATTTGATTGGTAGCACTGGAGACATTCGATTGCATCGACATTTATTGACAAAATACATAGGAAAAGATTTTATCGACTATCCAATCGCGTATAATATCTAGTTGAGTTAGTGGTCAGAGATTTCATAAACTTCCTTTTTTCTTAAAGAACTTGCTCACTTGTCGGAATGACTTATATTGGACTACTATATGATATTGCTACCTTACAAATTAAAGACCAATCAAAATCAAGTTCTTGTAAAGAAACTTYTTATAGCTTCTGCAGCCGAAGTTAACGTTTTGGCTTGTTTGATTATATATCTTTAACAATATATTCGAACATTTAGCAATTTCGYAATATTAGTAGTATATGAAGCACAGAAGATATGAGGAACAGTCTTTTGTTTGAAACAGTTAGCAGGTTTGCCAAATACAAGGATCTTTGTTTCGATATTGACGTGGGGACCAATTTTACCTTTACAGATAATATTATTATTATTACTCTCTTGGCTGCATATAACAACGGCGTTTGACAAGTTTTMTTGACGCCTTCAYAATTTCGATTCTCTTCGATTTGCCMACATACCTTTTAATTCGTWTTTGTTTTTTGAATAAGTTATAACATMAACTTTATTTTACCAGTTATATGTTTGTCAATCATATCTGATGSAGTAGAACAATAGCAGTATACATAAATTGGAACCAAAGCCGGAAAGTTAAGAGCTATTTTTGAAGGTATTTCCGAAAACTCTATATTCACGTAAAATTTATGTACATATGTATGTCGAAAAAACGTCAATATATTGAAAATTCGTATGAATATATTTTAACACATTTTGTATGCTTTTACTGCATTTACTATATACAGGTACACGATCAACTGCTATTAAATTTTTTGCTGCCAATCATTCGGTGATTTATGGAAAACTTTGTACCCTAACCACGCCTACCTTCAAATCTGCAGCAGTTTATGGCAATTTTGATTTCATTTAAAATTTAAAAACTGAAGTTCAAAAATTGACCTCAAAATCGGCATGCCGACAAACTGTTGAATTTTATTTTATTACTAAATGCTAAGCGATTGCGAATATCTACAAATAAGTCACCTTGCCAGCTCATTAATGCATTTTGTGACCGCCATAAGAGATTTATACAATTAAAAAAAAAAAACAAAATCCTAAAGAAAAATTAATGAATGTAAAAAAAAACAAAATACACATGAAGTTCATTGGCTTATCTCATTGTGCATTGCAAATATAATGAAAGAAATCAGCAGCTTTATCTGCGCTTGTCGCTTGCCTACTTGTTGTTGTTTTTAAAATATATTATTTAAGTTTTTTGCGTGTTCAACTCAATAAACGTCTTCATTAACATGTGTATTAAGAAAAAAAAAAAAACAATTACAACAATGCTGCATTAAATATGAAACGAGGCGTGAGATAACAGTTGACGATATCAGCGCCTCTTTTGTTTGTGAGCTGTAAATTTTTTATTGTTGCTGTTATGTGTTGTTTTTTTTCTCAGTTTTATAACAAAAGCTGAAGCTAGCAGTCTATGTCTATAAAAATTCCTGAAATCGTTTTTAAATCACCAGTTTTCGTTTATCAAATAGTCGCCGTACGAAACCAGTTGCACATCAATTTTAAACACGCCCACACAAGGGCCCAACTAGTTATGTAAGTGMAGGAAGCACAGAAGATATAAAGAAATTTTTTTTGTATACATATGTACAAAATGATAATATATGCTGTGTTGTGTTGTGGACAGCGAAATAGAGCACCTTTAAAAAGCACTGTATCAACTTTTATGCAATATGGACTGATGATAGACTTAGAAGACATATTCCAAGTGACCTCTGTATGAAGAAACCAAACAAAAATTTTAGAAATTCTAGTAGAATGGGTTAGGTTTGATGRCTGATCCTTTGTGTTGCCTTGCGTTTAATTTCTATTCCCACGACAACGGTGGGATATCTGAAAGTGAGAGCTCGTAAGTRTTTAAGCCTTAATCTCGCAATCACGTTGCTTTCTGCTCGTCTGCTTCTATACAGCTTCTGCAGTGGGTTTCGGGTAAGATTCTCAACCTTACAGCAGGAACGCCGCATGGAAACTGACCAATTAGCACATCTGCAGTTAAAGAGAGGTCAGCCTTACTGAAGGCAAAGAACTCACTCACGCTTAGGCTCGACCTTGGGCTGAAATAATCTTACGGCAGCGCATGTACCGATCGCAGCCCAGCTCTAACCAAGTTCCCCCGAAGTCCAGATATCCAGTAGTAGAATATACGAGGAGATAGTATCACCAAGTCGTTCCAATTCTAATAAGGGCGGAGCTAGGGTACCCTTCACTGACTCCTTCTCAGTGAATAACGTACTCGGAGACTAACCACCACTTCTGGGTACAGCTTAAACTGCTACTTATTCAGAACAAATCCCGACATATCTAATATATGTTCAGTGTGCAATGAGTCCCTGCATGATATTGGCCACCTTTTTGCATGCTCTGCTAACCCTACTCATCTGGCACCCTTCTCKCTTTGGTTCGACYCAGTCGAAACAGCACGTTTCTTGGGCCYACCGTTGGATGAYATGGACGACAACTTATCTAATCCTTACCATTCTAATGGGGGTTTAATACACCTTACACCAASAACACAGATAATTGCATGAATTCCATTTACAATTGCTTCGGTATTGACACAGTATTCCCCGGAACTGATATCAGTAAGTTTTTCCCATTGTCAGACGTCTGGAGAATATGCGCTGGAAAGTAATTCAGCGACTAATCGCCGAGATTGAGGCATATTTTGGGCCAGGAGGCAAATAGCCACACAAAATCTATCATACCAACAA